GGTGGCCTCCTAGAGCCTGTCCTGGTCCCTCGCCAGGTGCGGCCCTTCGCCTGCGTCTGGCCGGTCGTCGTTGCTGGTCTCCTGTCACTGCTCAGGGCTTCTGCTCCGTTATCGACAGCGCCGTCCTCCTTTTATTCACTTTTCCGAGTCCTTATATTTAAGGGCTGGAGATTCGACAGCTGCGTGTGTTGTAAGCTCTTATCCCGCCGTGTGCCTCGCCCTTTCACAAACCCCTGGCGGCCGACGTTTTCAGTTTTAATGTGGTCAGATCCGTTAGCCTGGTGCCACATGGTGAGAACCCCTGGATCCGCTCACACAACCCCTCTTTACGCTGAATCGTCGCACCTGCGTCACCATCTTGGATGTTTACGCTTTTATTACACCGAAGTCTCCAACCCACCTGGATTTGACTTTGGTGCGTGGTGTGAGTTACTGACCCGATATTACTGTACATTTGTAAGTATGGTTGTGTTCGAAGCACCATTATGGAAAAAGACCATCCTTCCTCCACGCCTTGCAGAGAGAGAGACTAGGACTGCAGCTCGTTTCCACACAGGTCTGTTTCTGCGGTCACAATCCTGGTAACTATTCCTGCTCCGACACCTTTTACCTTTTATGATTCGCCTTGATGTCCGGTAGAGCAAATTCTCCCACAGGGCTCTTCTTCAAGAGTATGTTAGCTGTACTTGGGCTTTGAAATCTACTTGTCATTTTTCAACCTCCCACTCCCCCAAAACACATTTGTCTGGACTTTGATTGGAATCAAACATCTCTGATTCTTCCAAGGATTTCTCTCCATCTATTTAGATCTTACCACCTCTCAAAAATGTTTACTCGTCTCCCCCACAAAGCCTCGAAACATCTTTTATTAGCTTAGAATGATAAACATGATACCTTTCAGGCTACTGGAAATCTTTTAACCTTTAATTTTCCTGCCTCCTGTTGCTCCCTTACCCGTACTGAAGTGTGTCCTGTGTGCTGATTTTGTGTGTGGTGATCTCTCTCACTCTTACCAAGCCTAAGAGTTTATCTTCTGGATGAATCCTATCATCCGTGAATTCCACTTTTGTTTCTTCAAACTTTTATGCCTTCTATTTTCCTACCTGTGCCATGCCATGTTGGATAAAGTGACCGCCAGCTGCCTTGGGGGGTCGTTCCCAATCTCAAGGGCAACGCTGTCAGGGTTTCACGTGGTGATTTTTGTGCAATACTATTTGTCAAATTAAGAAAGAATCCTTTTATTTATACTCTGTTAAGAATGTTATGGCATGATCGACGGTGAATTTTGCCAGACATTTCTTCTGATTTTACAATGCTAAATTTTATCGAACGCTGTACTTTACTCTGTGTTTACGGAGATAATTTCATCATTTTGTCATTTCAATGATATCGATTTTCTAACGCTCCTAATGTTAACCCAGCCCTGATACCTGGACTATGGATCTCATCACAGCGCGTCATCCTCTCCCTTGCGGAACTCAGTTTGCTAACGCTTGGTTTAGGGTCTCGTTCTTCATATCCACGGCACTTGCCCTGTGATAGGAAATCCTCCTGTTTCCCGCTCACGTTTTAGTTATCGGTGTATCCCATCTATATGTAATGAGTTAGAGAGCATATCTCCTTTTTCTGTTCTCTACAAGAATCTCCATGAATGTAGAATAATTTCTTTCCAGAATGTTTGGAAGAATTTGTCAGTCGGGCCACTTGGGGTAGATATTGTTCCATTACAAGAGGTGCTGGTATTGGTTCTACTTTTTAACAGCTTGTAGGATTGAATATAAGTTTTCTATTTCTTCCTGGGTCAGTTTTTATTAATAATTTGTTTTCTAGCAATTAGACAATTTGTCAAAACTCTTCAAATTTACATGCATAAAGTGTCATACTATTAAAATGACATCAGACATGCACAGTGGGTTGTTTGGTGTCTGTACACATCCGCGCGTCACTCGGTACTGACACGACACCATCTGCTGTGTGCTGGCCCTAGGGTCAGGGCTGGACTGAGGGCACCAGTAATTTTTAAACTCTCCTAAGAACAGGAAGATAAAGTGAGTTCTCAGACTTGCCTATGAATAGGCCAGAGAGGCACAGACATGTTGATCTAAACTCCAGTAGGAACTTGGTGACAGACACGTGCACTCACACTCAGCAGCTGCTACTGCAGTGACTCAGCTGCACCCACGTGGGCCAGTGCACGGTAACTGACTTCCTTTTCCCTTCTAACTCTATAAAACACATTCCAAGAGGAATTCTGACGCAGAGCGTTCTAAGTGAACACAAAGGGAAAACGAAACTTGCTTTGAAGACAGAACTCCAGCCTCACAGGTGTGTATCTCAGACACCTGTCCGCCCATGCCCTGCTCGTTGCCTGTTTGCACAGACACAAAGCGTGGATGCACGCTGCCCTGCGTGGAGGTGCAGACAGAGCATCTGCACCGATGTGAAAACACAGAAGAGTGTCTCAGACACCGGAAACATCGATCGGCCAGCGATGGGTGTTGATGTGACTCCAGGTGAGGCTGGGTGGCTGGAATTTCCCCACATCCTGGCTCAATGAAAGCAAATCCCTCTCCACAGGGACAGCCTTCATGCAGGGCGGACTTGAGGCCCTCTGGGAGCTTCCAGAACATCCGTGGGGGAGAGAGAGCTGGTCTACCACAGCCCCATGCGTAGAGTAGGACGAGAGTCCCGGAAACCCAGGGACGCCTGTGGAGTCCAGGCATGTTCTGGGAAGACGTGGCCAAGCGTTAACTCGCAGGAACACAACTCCCGGTGTCCAAGAGTGGCCCTTAACCACTTCCATGTGCTGCTTCTCACCCAGAATCCCTGACTCAGCCCCAGCCGTGAACACGGAACATGAGAACATGAGAGAAGTTGAGACGTGAAGTCTAAGGCAAAGCCGTGGCCACAGCCAATCACCACCAGCCCCAAACAAGGCAAGTCAGTGCCCCCAGGACCCACCTGCGACGTCCAGGCGGAAGGAGACCCTCTGGCCCCCGGCCTCGCAGCTGTACTCCCCGGCGTCCGCCCTGCCCGCCTGC